TCCCTAATGCTCTGGGATTCTGGGATTCTGTGATCATCATCATCACCATCATCATCATGATTATCATCACCATCATCATTATCATCACCATCATCATCGTCATCATCATCATGATTATCATCATAATCATCATGATTATCATCATCATCACCGTCATCATCACCATCATCATGATTATCATGATTATCATCAACACCATCATCATCATCATCATAATTATTAGTATTATAATCATCATCACTATCATCATCATAATCATCATTATTATCATCACCTTCACCACCACCATCATTATTATCTTCTTCTTCATCATCATCATCATCATCATTACTATTATCTTCATCATCATAATCATAATAATTATCATCATAATCACCATCATCATCATCATCATCATTTATCATTATCATTATTATCATCACCATCATCATTATTATTACCATAACCATTATTATCATCATAATCATAATTATAATAATTTAAATAAATTTTGACTCTAATTTTAAATTTAATTATTTTGCAATAAAGCTAATATTTATTCAGTATTATTTTCGTTATTATTACTATTACCGTTGTCATTATTGTAGTAGTAACAACAAAAATATAAAACCAATATTTGATTTTTAATAAATATTCGAACTAAATCTGTATTTCTTTAATTATGTGCTAATAAAATTAATAGTTAATTTGTATTGTCATTGTCATAGTCCTCGTTGTCGTTGTCATTGTCACTGTCGTTGTCACTGTCATTGTTATTGTTATTGTCGTCATTGTCATTGTCGTTGTCATTGTCATTGTTATTGTTATTGTCGTAATTGTTATTGTTATTATTGTTATTATTGTTGTCATTGTCATTGTCGTTGTCATTGTCATTGTTGTCATTGTCATTGTCATTATTATTGTTATTGTTGTCATTGTCATTGTCGTCGATGTTGTTGTCGTTGTCGTTATTGTTATTGTTATTGTTGTCGTTGTCGTCGTTTTTGCCATTGTCATTGTTATTGTAGTTGTTATTGTCATTGGCGTTGTCATCGTTGTCATTGTTATTGTCGTTGTTATTGTCATTGTCATTGTCAGTCATTTTCATTGTTGTTATTGTTATTGTCATCGTTATTGTCACTGTCGTCATTGTCGTTGTCGTTATTGTCGTTGTTGTTGTTGTCGTTGTCATTGTCATGTTCATTGTCAGTCATTGTCAATTTCGTCGTTGTCATTGTCGTTGTCGTTGTCGTTGTCGTTGTTGTTGTCGTCATTGTCATTGTCTTTGTTATTGTCTTTGTTATTATTGTCATTGTCATTGTCATAGTTGTTATTATTGTTATTGTCATTGTTGTCATTGTTGTCGTTGTCGTTGTCATTGTTATTGTTATTGTTGTCATTGTTATTGTTATTGTTATCGTCGTTGTCGTTGTCGTTATTGTTATTGTTATTGTTATTGTTATTGTTATTGTTATTGTTGTCATTGTTGTTGTCGTTGTCGTTGTTATTGTTATTGTCATTGTCATTGTCATAGTTATTGTTATTATTGTTATTGTTGTCATTGTTGTCATTGTCGTCGTTGTCATTGTCGTTGTTATTGTTATTGTTGTCATTGTTATTGTTATTGTTATTATTGTTATCGTCGTTGTCGTTATTGTTATTGTTATTGTTGTCATTGTTATTGTCGTTGTCGTTGTCATTGTTATCGTTATTGTTATTGTTATTATTGTTATCGTTGTCATCGTTGTCGTTATTGTTATTGTTATTGTTATTATTGTTATTGTGGTCGTTGCCATCATTGTCATTGTTATTGTTGTTGTCATTTTCGTCGTCATTGTCATTCTCATTTTTATCGTCATTGTTGTTGCCATTGTCATTGTTATTGTCGTTGTCATTGTTATTGTAGTTGTTATTGTCATTGGCGTTGTTGTTGTTGGCGTTGTCATTGTTATTTTCATTGGCATTGTCAGTCATTGTCATTGTTGTTATTGTTATTGTCATCGTTATTGTCACTGTCATTGTCACTGTCATTGTCATTGTCGTTGTCGTTATTGTCGTCATTGTCAGTCATTGTTATTGTTATTGTCATTGTCACTGTCGTTGTTGTCGTTGTTGTTGTCGTTGTCATTGTCGTTGTTGTTGTCACTGTTGCTGTCATTGTCGTTGCTGTTGTTGTTGTCATTGTCATTGTCATTGTCAGTCATTGTCATTGTTGTCGTTGTTGTTGTTATTGTCACTGTCGTTGTCACAGTCGTTGTCATTGTCATTGTCGTTGTTATTGTCACTGTTGTTGTTGTTGTCGTCGTCGTTGTTATTGTCCTTGCTGTCGTTATACCTTGTCCTTAAGGGACCTCTCCTCGGCCTTGGCAGCGAGGTCCCCAGCAGCGGCTGCTATCTTTATGACCTCGCGATGACA